TGATAAGCTTGCGTGATGAAAGCATTTATGCATAACATTTCTACGCTTGATCATCATCATCACAACGATTTTGATTCAGTGTTGCCCCATATAAAATACATGTATTGAAAATTTGTCGTTACACTGAACAAATTTTAAATGAAAGAACCCAATTTATGTTTAGTACTGAATTAATTTTGTTTTAACTTCAACAAGTTCAACATTTTCAAAATGTTTGATCGTGTACTTGACGTTAAGTGTATATAAGTAAATTAAGTGGTAGACTTCTGAAATGCATTCTACTAGACACAAATTTCAATCTAAATAAGGGGCAAATTATTTATTGTTTTAACTGTATCAAAACACGTTTGTTATTTTATACTTTCATTTATTTTTCTTGTATAGAAACAAAAACATTTAATCACTGATAATTTATTTTGTTTTGATAAATTATAAGAATTTTAAATTCATTTTAGCTAACTTGTATTCTCAGGTAGGATTGGTTTTAAATTCACTTCTGATTGTAGAGACGATCAGATTTGTTAACATACAGATTTGTAACAATTCAATGTTTATACTCATTGGCCCAATGTTGGTCCAATGTATCGGGCTAACATTGGGCCAAGGAACAAAATGACACTGGACCAACGTCATTTGCCAACATCGGCCCAATGTTCTTGTTGACGTTTCGCCAACAATGTCGCATTCATTGGGCCGATGTTTGCAACGTTGGGCCAATATCTGTAGAAAAAACACTAACATTGGGCCGATGAGCAAACTTAAAATGGGTCAATGTTATTTGCCAACATTGGCCCGATGTAACCAATTACATTGGCCCAACGTTGGCCCAATGTTAGCATGCTATCTGGGGTACAGTGTTGAACCAACAGCACCTGACCTCTGCACTTCCCCGTGTCTGATCTACACAGATTTGTACATGATATCGTTTAAAAACTAAACGTTAATTCAGCTGTGCCGAGGCAAACATATTATAAATACTTACAAAGTGGTTGCAGATATATGCAAGGTATCAGTCTCATTACGCTCGCTCGTGTCAGATAAAAAATGGCGCGGATATTACAAGTAGCCCGGTTGTTGTCTACCCATGATGCTCAGTCAGATTCATGGTATATTGGGCCAACGTAGGGCCGATGCCAATCCCCAAACAAACATTTTCATGAAAATAGTTTTATGATATCATGTCAACAGTTGGCCCAACATTAGCGCACCATTATAACCAGCTATCAATATTCCATGTTGGGCCATTGTTGGCCCAATCAAGGTAACCCAACAGACTAGAAACATAATGTAAGATTAGGCCAACGATGTTCTGCTATCTGGGAATTATTACAAATAAATAAGCATAAACACAATTTCAAAAAATAGAATAAAACACTCTTTGGTGCTGTGATCACTTAAGTGCAAATATTTAAGTTAAAATTTTGAAAATATATCTAAACAAAAGCTGGCATTCAATGATAAGCATGGACAAAGAAAGTCTTCTTAATTATTTCAGAATGTGCCAACGTTGTCCCAACGTAAAGCTCAGAAGCTAATTATAAAATCAACACCATCAATTGGCTGGCATTATAATAATTGGACCAACGTTGGCCCAATATAAATATCTCATCTTTAAAACACCTAAACAAAATAACACTCTTGTGTATTACAAATATTGAGCCACCATTGGGCCAACATAATACTACCAACTTGATAAGACATTTTCTTTAAGGGTGTATTACTAACATTGGTCCAACGTTGGGCCAGCATATTACTACCAACTTGATAAGACACGCTCTTTAAGGTTGTATTACAAACAATGGGCCAACGTTGGGCCAACATATTACTACCAACTTTATAAAACACATTCTTTAAGGGTGAATGACAAACAATGGGCGAACGTTGGGCCAACATTTTACTACCAACTTGATAAGACACATTCTTTTAGGGTGTATTACAAACAATGGGCTAACGTTTGGCCAACATTTTACTACCAACTTGATAGGACACATTCATAAATGGTGTATTACAAACAATGGGCCAACGTTGGGTCAACATATTATATACCAACTTGATAGGACACGCTCTTTAAGGGCGTATTACTAACAATGGGCCAACATTGGGCCAACATATTACTACCAACTTGATAAGACACATTCCTTAAGGGTGTATTACACACATCGGGCCAACGATGCCCCAACATACTACTACCAACTTGTATATACACTTTTCTTTAAGGGTGTATTTAAACATTGGTCCAACGTTGGGCCACCATATTACTACCAACTTGATAAGACACATTCCTTGAGGGTGTATTACAAACAATGGGCCAACGTTGGGCCAACATAATACTACCAACTTTATGGGACACGTTCTTTAAGGGTGTATTACAAACAATGGGCCAACGTTGGGCCAACATATCACTACCAACTTTATAAAACACTTTCTTTAAGGGTGTATAACAAACAATGGGCCAACGTTGGGCCAACATTCTACTACCAACTTGTAAATACACTTTTCTTTAAGGGTGTATTAAAACATTGAAAAACGTTGGACCAACACCAGGATCCTTCCTGACTTGGAAACTAAAGTGAATGGAAGTTGCTTACGTTGGACCAACGCTGGGCCAACATAGGAATTTTTCATGATCGAGAAGGTTGACTTGGTAACATTGGTCCAACTTTCCCAACGTTTTCCTCCAACGCCAACCATACAACCTTTAGCACATGTTGGCCCAACATAGTCATGCTATCTGGGTAGAACTCTGGCCTTTGCTTGCTCTTCTTTTGCATTTTTCAAGAGCTGTTTTATAAGTATTGAACATGCCGCATTGCCTTCCTGAGTTGCTTCGTCCCATGATTCACTTTTACCCTCGAATCTGGTGGAGATGCAGTGAATAGAGTTCTGATAAGGAAATAGGGCGGGAGAGCGAGGAAATCTTTTAGGAATTACCCGTTTATTTAACACTATTGAGAATGTATACCCGTCTCGTATTATTCGTATACTTAAAGTTCGCCCCCTCTTCTTGAATGATAATTAGTGCTGCGCTTATCACGTGATTTCGCTGAGGGTAATCTAGAGTTGCGGAGTAAGGAGCCTGATCCTTACTTTAAGGGTTTAAATCCCTTGCTGGATATGGAGAAAGGTCCTTCAGATGAGACCATATAAACCTAAAAAGGTCCTGTGTCACGGAAGGTTTTACACAGAAAAGACCCCTCACTGCTCAAAAGCCCATTGTACCAGGTATAGATGTAGGTATAAAGTAGTCGTCTATTGGTTAGTGGTGGCATCTCCATATGAGTGAAAATTCTTAAGAGGGACGTCAAACAATTAAAGATCATTTGAAAAAAATACAATCTATACTATCCCAGGAAGTTTTTTAGTAAGATTCAGTTTCTCTTGTCCAGTGGGTTTTTGAGAATTTTTAAAAAAGATTTTTCCAAATTATATCGTTATAAAACTTTGATTCCCAGTTGCAGGCCCATCTTACACCCGGGGACCATGAACTAAACGACAAAATCTCAGTTTAAGACACATATTTACGAATATACCCTACCCAATAAGCTGCTGCAGATGTACGAAAAAAAATAAACTCTTTTTTATAATTACATTATATACTTTATTGATAAATATCATGTTTAGTAAGTTATACATGTGTACAACATTGAAAGCAAGAAACAATATCATGGTCATATTATGTGCAAATGTTTTTTTTATATCATAAGTTCAATTAAAATGTGCAATATAAGCATTAAAGAAAATAATAATGCACTATACTTCATAAACAACACTAAGAACTGATTGTGTAAATACATGTATATGATAATTACATGTAATTATGTATGTATAGTGAGTAAGTTCATTGTAATATAATAATGATTAATATTGTTTTCATACATTTTTATGAGTTTTTCATAGGTTCGTTTGATATCACGTGTCAAAATATAGAAATGCGGAAAAACCTCGGATAGATATTGATTTTTCAACCTTCGTTTGACTTTTGCAGTTATAAATTTAACAATACATTATAAAAGTTTTCCCATACTATAGTACGATAAATCACGGTTGTCAAAAATGTTTTCTGAAATCAGGTCATTTTGCTGTCATCATTTGAATTATAAATAACAATTGTATTTCTTTTCCCTGTACGATATGACTTTAGTATTGTTATTGATGTGTATAATGGAATCTGCCAGCCCCCTTCAAAAACGTAATTATATAAAAAAGAACTGTCTATTTCTACTTTCTGAATTTAAAAAAAACGCGAGTGTGTAAATTTAAAATATATTGTTATTAATCCAAATAGTTCACAGTCTTATAACAATACTGGATAAACTAGTACATTGTATTTGAAACAGACGAATTGATGCGTATATTAACTGAGAGATAGATTATGAAATATTGGAGCAAATTACAATTTAGATTTGTTAAAATTTACAATTTTAATTCCATTTGAACTTTACCATTTTGTATCATATTTCACACGATTTCCATTTCCCCTGTTGCAGGGGCGAAGTAATGTAATTATTTGTTATTATGTTATTGTCACAGGACTGGGGATTATGCTTCAGTCTTCTCAATCACTTTCCATTTTTTATACACCCGAGGCTGTGCGTCGTCTTGAAAAGTTCTTTCTGTCCTCCACTCGGCTTGTTTTCTGTAAAAAAAAAAAATAAAAAATTGCCATGGTTATACCAGTAGTTTTATTCCATCTCTGATGGAAAAAAACCTCAACTCCAATATGTTAAAAAGGTCCTTTACAAATACTTTAAATGCACTGCAATTGCTATGTACTTTTATTTTGAAATGTAAAAATAAGATCTTGGACACATCTGAATATTCTTTATGGGATGTGTTTTTTTTAAATACTTATGTTGTTTCATACGAAGTTTTTTTTAAGGGAACCTGTACAATTTCACGACCATGTATCTCTTCTGTCTTTGCAGATACAAATGAATAGAATAATCGAATGCTTTGCAGTCGAATAAAAAAAATCAGGCTTTAGGCCTAGCCAAAAATACCTGTAAATGCGACCAGACGTTAAATCTTCAGGGGGCCGATCATGGTAGAAAGGTACTTTCTCTTTATTCTGATCCGATTCTAATATTTCGGTCTTTTGGTGATAAGTAACTGGAAATGCTGAATCTGGCATTGTTACATATTCTTTCCTTCCATCTTCTTTGTATCTAGTTACAAAAAATAATTAACTCTGGACGAAAAGTAAGTATTACTAAGTAAACTGCATATATTAAACTACTTATTAATAAGGTTTTGAATTGCAGGATACTCAATAAAATATGAATACGAATATTTTAGTTAGTATTACCTGTATGCCGTGCCAGTGGATTTGTAAAATGTCGTGCCCTCAATCTTATTGCCATTTTCAGGATTAAAGCCCAAATCTCCATCATTTCCATGGGGGACTTCCAAAATCTCTGATCCATTCTGTCTGAGATGAACTAACTTTTTTTCTCCTACTTCGGATTGCCGACTATTTTTATCAACTGTCTTTGGGGAGAATGTGAAAGGTATTGTTGATTCTTGCTTTGTCAGATACTCTTTCGTCCCATCCTCTTTGTATCTAGGATTGGATTGAATACCATTATATACTTATTTTTACTGAATATTTATTTTGATAAACTACAGAGGTACTGCTTTCTTATATTTTGAATCAATTATGCTGCATATACTAACATCAAATACATGTAATAAATCCAAATACCTATATACATTGCCTCCAGGTTTGTAAAAGGTTGTGCCCTCTACGTCAAAGGAGTTTTCCATTTCATTACCACCTACTGAAACAAAGACTGAATTTTCTTTCTTTGTAGAATCCATGTGTAAATGACCCGATTCTACTTGCCCAATGTAAGTAAAACCTTTTTCTTTTTCTACCAATTTCTGTGAAATTGACTTTTTACAACTGTTTTGGGTTCACTTGCACTGTGGTAAGTAAGAATTTCTTGTGTGCGAACTGATCTCTGATAACCATCCTCGTGTGATTTTAAGCCTCCATCTTTCAGGTCAATAGAACCTTCAATTACTTCCTCTGCTAACTGAGAATCATTGAGGGTTGGACTTAATCCTCTTTCTTTATGGATGCGATGATGTGTTCTCTCTGAAGTCTGCTGTTCAATAAGATTTTTTCTTTCATGATATCTCCCATCTTGTAGCAATTCTGGTTTTATTTTGGATTCTTCAGCGCTATTGCTTTTAAGAGACCCTTTCTTATTCATTTCAATGTAACTTTCAACCCTTGTATTTGTCCTTTGTGGGACAATAGACGAATGTGATATCTGACTTTTTATGGGTTCTTTTTTCATTTCATCCCCATAAATATACCAAGACCCATGCCCTATTCCGCTTGTAATTTCTTCTTTGGTCACAGTGGTTCTCTCCTGCTTGTTTTCTTTCGGGATCCATACTTTTCTTGTTTTGTATGTCTCAATTTCTTTGTTATTTGATTTTACGTCACCCTTCCACTTTTCATTACTAGTACATGTATATGCTTCGTCGTTTGTTACGTAACGTTCCATATTTGGTCTTGGTCCAGGCAAGACTACTTCCGATTCTGATGGCATGTGGTTCATCAGTACTCGCCCGACTTCACCATCATAAAAATATCCCCATCTTCCTTCTCTTCCAGTTGAAATTTCTTCTTTGGTCAAGATTGCTTCCTTCTGATTCTTTTCAAAGGGGACCCATTCTGTTCTTATTTCATAAAATTCTTTTTCTTTCCTCCTTGGTTTTACTTCAGTCTTGATCATTACTTTCTCCATTTCGTGCAATGTCTGCTCTGGAAGTCCTGACGACATGCTTCCTTCATCATCACTGTCGAACTGAATCAAGACAGACTTTTCTTGTACTTCCTCGCCTTTTTCAATGGTTGCCGTGATATTTTCTTGTGCCAAATATTCCATTCCAGTGTGCTTTCCTTCTATCTTTTGCCCTGCACCATCAACGCTAAGACTATATATGGTATCATTTTCTTTGGTCTCTCTATGAAGATTAACATCAGAACTGTTTCGTTTGTTTCCAGCTTGATTGATGTTAGTAACGTATTGTTCTCTTCTGGATGATTGAAAACTTGCAACAGAAGGATATGCACTTCTTGTGTAGTGATGGTGGCTCTCAATGTTTTCGTATCCTCCTTGGTTCATTGATTGTTTGTTTATCCCATCATCTTTGCTGTATATCGCATTACCTTGCAATGCTGATGCAGATGATAGAAAATCTGTTTGACAACTGCTGTCAACTGCCTTTTTGATATTTTCCGACATATAATTAAGCATGCTATGTTCTACTTTAGTATGGCCCATACAGCATGTACAGTATGGGCATATTTTTCTATTTTCCTTTGACCTATGGGCAATCATTGATTCATTAATGGTTTTTGCAGTAGATGTGCTCTGATGGAATTTTCCAGTTTCTATCAGTTTGGTAGTATCCACACTTGGTCTTGATATTTTTTCATCATTTTCAGAGGACTGTTTAGTGATTAATCGGAGATTATAAGGTTTAGTGTTCTCATCAGAGCTCCTATAAACAGCAGCATCATTTTCAAAATCTCTGGTCGAAGTCCAACTTGTGTTTGTTTGTAACCAGTTACTAACTACAGATTGTTCGTTTTCACCTACTATCATATTAGATTTTCTGTTCGGGGTTTTGCACTCAGTTTTTGTTTCATGATAGCCTTTTATTCCCATTACCCCATTATCTGATGATTTTACGTGAGATTGAGTTTGGTTTGTGCTATGGATGACCTGATCGTCTTGTCGTACTCTCGAAGTTTTATGTAATAAAAGTTCAGGTTGGATTATAACTGGATTTGAACCTCTTTCTTTCTGAGATCTTTCCATTTTTGTTGTTTGCTCTTTTGTTGTTTTTGATTTGACTTTTTGGGACTGTCCATCTGCTTGATAACTATGTAAAGAATGACACTTTTTGCTATATTATTTGTAACACATTTATTTCGTTTTGTTTTAGTATATTCTTGAAATATATAGCAAGATTGCAATGTAAATAAATTGATGTATAACTCTTTATGTGATCTGATGAATAAAGCAAAACAGTTATACCAGTAAGCATGCCATCTTGGTGCAGAAGTGTGAGTGGATCCTCCATATTGTTTCCAGAATACTGGAAATCTGGTCTTCTTCGATGATTCTTCTTGAAAATCTGTGCTTGATTCTTGACTTACTAGACGAACAAGTTTTTTCTTTTTCTTTCGTCTTCTGCATCTGTTAAAATGTATATTTTGTTGAGGTAGCGAAGTATTCCACATTTATCTATATTTCCAACTGTTTCCTTATATCTCTTTACAACGTGTGATTATTTCTCGACAGTTACAACTAAATTTATGTAAAACAAAGTTAAAGTTTTTCAGACAAACAGACAAAATAACCGATATGTCCTGAATCTTCGATGATGGGACATGAATAAATACCACGGGCAGATCAAAGAACGAAACTAAACACCTTTACTTTAAAGTATTCACAAACTCACCCACAAAGTATACAGAATATACAGGTTATACAAAACAAAGTTCCAGCGATCACTGATGTCGAAATGACGGCTGCAGTGGCTTCCAGCCCTGATGACACAACGCATTGTCCTGGAACTTCGGGATCTGAATTTACCCGTGAAAAATAATTTTAATCACATCATTTAATAATATCTTGTAGGCAAAACTCTACTTTTAGAAAAGATAATTTAATTCATCAACATGCTGTAAAAATTGATATAGTTTAAGCAAATAAGCTGTAAATGAATAGGTTGAGGAAGGAACAATTATCTGTTTTGAGAAGAATTGATTGAGTAAATTCACGAAAAAAATTGTTGACCATGTTTAAACTCAAATTTTGTAAATTTACCAGCAAAATTAAAAATTTTGGAAGAAATGTGATATGGTGACTTGTTAATTTTTTATTATCTACCTTTGAATTTCAATCCGGTACTATTTATAATATCCTTTCCTGCGCACACAAATGTTATGGTTTCTATCATCATTTGGCAGTTTTGTTCTTTCTTTGATGATCCACCAACAATGAAGTTATTAAAGGCCGTGTAATTAGACGCAAGACGAGAAATGCATTTCTTTGTGGAAGCTTTGACCTCCTGATCAACGCTCAGCTGTAGACCAAACTGGAGGCTCCAGGACATTTCCACCGCCATAAACTCCTCCAGTTTGACAGAGGATGTAGAAGTGACCCATTCTGACCATTTATTACTGACTCTAGCATATAGTCTGTTATTCCCAAACCAGATAGCATAACCATAGTACTGGTCATCGTCTCCCCCATTACTTAACAAGAAACAGGTATGTGCATTTGTCATCAGCCTAACATTAAACGTTATAGTGATACCAAGAGAAATTTTTGCTATATCGCCAAAACAGACATTTGTCAGGTCCCCAAAAGCCAGATATTGACGTCCATCTAATATGACAGCAGTTCCCCCACTCACACCAGTTGTAAGCGTCGGAGTACCCGTGCCCCCGATCACGACGTTGTCGCTCGATGTTACCAGAGACTGTCCATTAATGTTTTGGAAATTGTATCTCTTTGTAGAGATTTTTTCAACTAAAAGAAAATTACAAATATTTTTACTGATAGCGTATTTTATTTACTTTTGGGGAAAATCACTTTAATGGTGAAATCACGTAATTGTTATGTATTGTGGCATAGGAACTAACTTTTCACAGTTTCAGTTTTCATGTATCTGTCACATCAAAATAACTATGTCATATGTTTAAAGTTTTAGTATGTGATGAACAGAAGTACCTTGTTGTAAAGGTGTAGTCTTTATCTTATTTCATTAGAAAAACATGAAATTTTTGATCATTTTCTTGTTTTCAGAATTAAAAGCCCGATATTTTATGTACCTTGCAATGTAGACCAGCGATTATTTGATATGCTGATATCACAGACCTCCAAGACATTTTGTGGATTAACAAAACCATGGACAAAACAAACACCGCCAATTCTGCAAACATCATTCTGAAAGAAAATGTACTTTATAAAAATTACGATAGATTTTTTCAACAAGAACATGGTTGAGCATTTTATCTGATAATGCTTGGCATTATTGTAGCCTCACGATCTTTATGACATTTTACGAATTCTCAGATTGACACGTATCCTTACCCTGACTGTACACCCACTGCTTGTGCACTGATGACAATGACTATTGAAGATGATGTAGATTTTGTATAAACTGATGGTCTGACCATCATTACTGACCGCTACTTCGTACAATCCATCATTAGGAAACGCACACTTGACAGTCTGGGAATTCAAATATTCAGCCTTACTGGTCGAATCCGATACAGCTTGCATGTTTATCTACAAAATAGCATTAAAGAATCTCTTCATCAAGAGCTATAGGGTTACTATCTAAAATTCTAAATTCCTTAGAAAAGAAATTTACTCTAAAAAAACGCTATATTGTTCAAGTGATTAACGATTGAATGTAATAAATGATAAATAAAAGAATGTATTCCTGCATACAATTGATGACCAATAATACAAAAGGTCCCATCATAATTTTATGAAAAAAAAGAATGATTAAAAGTAAAAGGTGATCTTTTTACATCAAGAGATCTGTAATGACACGTAAGATTCTCAACATCAGCAAAATTTTCTCCATAAAGATAGACCGTGGTGCAGTTGGTACATATCGAGTCACATGGTTCTCCATTTCCTATTTCAAAGAGATCAGGCGGAGCAGTAGAGTTAATCGAACAGTCGTCACCAATCCACGGATGAAAACACTGACAGAGTCCTACAATGTAGACAACCAATACTGATATCACCATTTATTTGCGTTCTTATGATGATTTGATGCTGACTTACAATTAAATAATAGGATTCACAAAAAAAAATGAAATGTTAAATGCAAAACCTGTACTCTTTACTGTCTCTAGAAAGTAGTTGTAACGTTTCAGCGAAATAAGCAACTTTCTCAAAGTTAAAATAATATTTTCTGCAAAACCTTTTTACTCATACATGTATATCATAAAAGACTTGAAAAAAGTAGCAAAATAAAAATTAAAACTCTTGAACTAACCATCTGTGCAATTTCCGTTTTCCATGCAGCTGTTGGGACAGATGACACCAACGATTCCTGGAGGCGGTATGGCATCCCCGGTTTCATTGTTTACAGTCCATTGATCCGGGTCCCCCTCCACAATGGTCGTACATTCTTGTTGTAAATTGTCAAAACTCTCGCTCGCCCAGGATTTATCATCAGTTAGCTGTATCAAATATTCATAGGAACACTTTTGAATTTTATCACAAAAACATAGACAAGGAACAAATTTACATATAGAAGTATTAATTAGATTGCCTGTAAATCAGTTACGCAGCCTTGTACAATAGGAGTCAGATCCAGCCCAGGTAGAGATGCACATTTCTTTCCGGATTCCTTGGCTTCAATAAAGCCTTGACAAAACTTCCTCGCCTCGTCTTCAGTGATATTACCAGGTGTTGGCCAAACAGGGTCCTGTTGTGGTAATACACCATTATTGTATTTATAATTATCCTATTAGAGGCCCATGGGGCAACATAGCTCACCTTAGTTAGTTTGGCCATGCTGTTATTTACCAGAACCCCCTTGTAATACCGATTGTGCCCTACACCTACCCCCCCCCCCCACAAGAGGTCATGATTTAGGCAATTCAGGTTATATTTTACCCCAGGATGCTTCCAAATAAGTTTAAGATTTCTTAAATCTTGGTTTCTTGGCTCTTGATAAAGATTTTTGAAAGTTTTTTCCTACATATTTCAATGTATAACTTGGATTTCCTATTGTCGCCCCGCCCTACGCCAGTGGCTCATGATTTAAATAATTAAAAACCTACATTATATCAGACTGCTTCAACATAAGTTTTAGCTTTTCTTGACCAGGGATTCTTCAGAAGATTTTTCCCTACATATTTCTATTTATCGTTTCGTTTCCTTATTGTGGCACAACACTACCCTGTGGCAATAATTGAAATAATTTAAAATGTACACTACTCCATGATCTTTCTACAAAGTTTCAGCTTTTCTGGTCCAGTGGTTCTGGACCATATATTTCAATATAAAGCCTGGGTTCCCTATTGTGGCCCCGCCCTAACCCTGGGGGTAAAAATTTTTACAATATAGAATCTTCACTTACCCAGGATGCTTCAACATAAGATTCAGCTTTTCTGGTCGGATTCCTGAGAGGATTTTTTAATTTTTCTTATATATGTTTTAATGAAACACTTGGATTCCCTATTGGGTCCCGCACTACTCCTCGGGGCTCGTGTTTTTAACAATTTTGAGTCTAAACTACCCAACAATGCTTCTATGTAAATTTAAGCTTTTCTGGCCCTGTGGTTCTTTGGAAGAAGATTTTTTCCCGACCCCACCCTATTATTTTTATCTTTTCTTGATTATCTTTCCTTGTAAGGGGACTTGGCCCTACATTTTAACAATTCGAATTCCCTTTACTCAAGGATGCCTTGTACCAAGTTTACTTAAAATTGACCTAGTGTATCTTGAGAAGAAGTTGAACATGTGACAAGTTTACAAACAGACAATGAAATACTATTATAATATATGTTATAAAGTACCAGTTCGATGTATGTTTAATGTGTTTGGCTACTATTGTATTCCATAAAAATATTTTTTAAACATGCAACAATTCAAAAGTACATACAGGTTGGGTATAGTTTGGCACGTAACCAAACGGTTCTGGGGGTCGTAAAGACTGGCACCGAGCAGGAGGTGACTCAGCATCTTTTATCAGATTAGGAGTGACCAGTTTGGTTCCTGCGATAATGCAAAAATCAAATACTCGGTAAATAAAAATGAAAAAAGACAGTTTAAGAAAGTTATTTTAATAACATTTTAAGGTGTAATGTATATAAAAGGATGTCCCATTCTTCTAATAAATTCGAGATATTCAATTTAAAATTTAATAAGATTTTGAGAAAAAAATAATTTCTTTGTAAATATTTCCTGACTTCTGTTGCTAAGCAGTCCTTTCCTCTTCTGAATTTCTACACATGTCATTTTGTCCATTCCCTCCTGACACGCGGCAGTCTTTCCTCCCAAACAGTCACAGTACTTCTCCACTTTAGGACTCGTGTCGGCAGAAGACACACAATATCCCCGGTATAAGGAATCCTCTTCTGGTACCCTGAACAGATGTAAAACATTAAGGTTTTAATTATTGTTTTTTGTACCATGAAAAGATGTAAAACATTAAGGTTTTAATTATTGTTTTTGGTACCCTGAAAAGATGTCAAACATTAAGGTTTTAATAACTGTTTGTGGTACCCTGAAAAGATGTCAAACATTAAGGTTTTAATTATTGCTTTTGGTACCCTGAAAAGATGTTAAACATTAAGGTTTTAATTATTGTTTTTGGTACCCTGAAAAGATGTAAAACATTAAGGTTTTAATTATTGTTTGTGGTACCCTTAAAAGATGTAAAACATTGAGGTTTTAGAAATTGTTTGTGGTACCCTGAAAAGGTGTAAAACATTAAGGTTTTAATCACTGTTTATGGTACCCTGAAAAGATGTAAAACATTAAGGTTTTAATTATTGTTTTTGGTACCCTGAAAAGATGTATATCATTAAGGTTTTAGAAATTGTTTGTGGTACCCTGAAAAGATGTCAAACATTAAGGTTTTAATTATTGTTTGTGGTACCCTGAAAAGATGTCAAACATTAAGGTCAAACATTAAGGTTTTAATTATTGTTTGTGGTACCCTGAATATATGTAAAACATTAAGGTTTTAATTATTGTTTGTGGTACCCTGAAAAGATGTCAAACATTAAGGTTTTAATTAATTTTTTGCTTTTAAACATTAAGGTTTTAATTATTGTTTTTGGTACCCTGAAATAGATGTAAAACATTAAGGTTTTAATTAACATTAAGAGGTTTTAAAATTGTTTGTGGTACCCTTGTAAAACATTAAGTTTTAATCACTGTTTATGTACCCTGAAAAGATGTAAAACATTAAGGTTTTAATTATTGTTTTTGGTACCCTGAAAAGATATATCATTAAGGTTTTAGAAATGTTTGTGGTACCCTGATATGTCAAACATTAAGGTTTTAATTATTGTTTGTGGTACCCTGAAAAGATGTCAAACATTAAGGTTTTAATTATTGCTTTTGGTACCCTGAAAAGATGTAAAACATTAAGGTTTTAGTCATTGTTTTTGTTACCCTGAAAAGATGTAAAACATTAAGGTTTTAATTATTGTTTGTGGTACCCTGAAAAGATGTCAAACATTAAGGTTTTAATAATGTTTTTGGTTGTTAAACATTAAGGTTTTAATTATTGTTTTTGGTACCCTGAAAAGGTGTAAAACATTAAGGTTTTAATTATTGTTTGTGGTACCCTTAAAAGATGTAAAACATTGAGGTTTTAGAAATTACCCTGAAAAGGTGTAAAACATTAAGGTTTTAATCACTGTTTATGGTACCCTGAAAAGATGTAAAACATTAAGGTTTTAATTATTGTTTTTGGTACCCTGAAAGATGTCAAACATTAAGGTTTTAGTTATTGTTTGTGGTACCCTGAAAAGATGTAAAACATTAAGGTTTTAGTCATTGTTTTTGGTACCCTGAAAAGATGTAAAACATTAATGTTTTAGTCATTGTTTGACCTCTTCTGTAAAGAAAATAATGTTTTAGTCATGCACTAGCATCTTCGCTAGCCAAGGGATTCTGATACGCTACTCTTGTCATATTCCCGCTGATGAGGAGATTCCAAGAATAGTGTATCAGAAACCCTTTGGCTATAGCGAAGATGCTATATAGCTGGACTTTGATTGATTTCAAAAGTATACTTTTCAGATCATGTCTCAAATAAGGACTTGATCATATAAAAGACTTATAACCTCCATGACAGAGAGAATTCATTTGGTTGTTTTCCTCCCCTTGTATACAGTTCCCCGTCTCTTTTCCTAAAGTCGTTGTTTCGGTCACCATCAAAGTTACCACACAACCCTACAAGTAGAAAGGCACTAATCATTAATAATGAAATAAATGGAGAGAAGTAAACAATCTTTAAAAAAAATGCATATTATTTTAAGCTTTGTTTATACTTTTCTTTTAATTATTCATCCATATATTATCTTTTTAATTTAAACTAATGAGAAGAAAAAACACCCACCAGTATCATTCTTTTAATATGTCTTGAGTACAGAAAGAGAAAAAAGTGTCCCACCGAAACGTTAGTAAGTGAAATGTTTTGAGTGTATATTATCAATGTCTTTTTATATGCTCAGTTTTGTATCAGCTTTTTTTGGAAAAATGATATAGATTTTTCTCTGAAAGTACCATATGCCAAATGATAACATCCCACATATGCTTGAAATGCAATTTACCTTCAGTGTTTTTATAATCAAGAGCCGATGCTAACATTTTAACGTTGAAAAACCCATTCCCAGTCATCACGTAGACCACCGCTCCAGTTGGCAGAATTACCTGTACATTAGAAGAATTACACGCTTAGTGTGGACTTTCAGTAAGGCGTGGCATTCTCGACGTTACCTAATTAGCTTCTGAAATTTACACAACTTCCCTTCACTGTTGAAATATACATATGATAGAAATGCAGCCAAATGTCAACGGGTATAGTAAATACCCAATTAAAAGTTCTCTCACGGCACAGAGGTTGGGCATAAGTCGTCTGATTGTTATCAAAAAACAATTTTAAGTTCCTATGTTATTAATTTCATAACCAATAAGAATCTACTAGTATTCTCCATTAGGTAGCGCCGAGAAAGTCACGCCTACTGAAAGTCCAAAGATAGGGTAAAATACTCATAATTAAGACTGTGTTCATAACTGTATAGCATAGCGAATATAAAAATATAATCTACTAAATAATGATTAATCAGTTGGTTTAATGTGTCATACACACAAACAATTTTATGAATTAATGATTTTTTAAACTTACATAATGTTCATTTTCCCCCTTTAAAGTAATATACGCCGTATGGATGCCGATTTGTATGTGAAACAAAATGATTTGAAACACATAAAGTGTAATGAAAAAAAATATTTCCACAAAATTTAACTATAAAACTCGTTGTATTAACAGAACAATAAAGCAATATCTGCAATCAAGAATTCACTCTTTTCATGAATATATGATAAAGGAAGTGCGTAAACAGTGGGTCTAAATATAAACACGTATGTCCACGGGAAATTATAGACAACGAGGCACGTTGCATTTTGACAACGGTTATTACTAAAAGGTTAATATGCGTATAACAGAGTATAGATGGTTGATACTGATTACATTTAAAGATAAGGTATATTAAAAGTAACACGCCATCCATGTCAAAAGTGAGTTGTATCTCAAAGGGCTTACCTCGTTTTCTTGACGCCGTGTTTGTTTATGAATCTAAAAGTAGCGACGGCGTCACGTGGTGGATTTACTTAAAAATAGACATTATTCTCCTTGCAGGATAATAAATAATTATAATTTGAGAACTTTATAACGAATTTTATTTAAATGGTGTAATTAACAGCATTTTCTTAACTTTTATTGGTAAACAAAATATATAAATTTCCAGCTGATTTTAAAATGGTGCACGTTATAGCGTATACCGGTATTACTTTGAACCTAAACCAAACAAACACAGTGTTGTTGATGTTAAAATTTAATATTTGGGACCTCATATGTTTTTCCTCCTCCCTTCCGAATGACATCAGTCCCTGGGGTCAAATCTCCATTCAGATACATCTTCATGGTGTATCGTGTACGTCTGGAAGACTTTCCCATTGAAGGACCACAAACGTCAAATAAAATGACGTCATCTCCAGACCGAATCGCCACAGCACAATTGCAGGCTGCAACCCTATTACAACGGCGATAAAACGTTCGTACCTGAAAAAACTTTTTCATATGAAATGGATCTATCACATAAAAAAAACAAGAGGCCCACGGGCCTTATAGGTCACTTGAGTATTGTGCAACAACTTTCAAACAATTAAATTTGGTTCGTGTTTTAAACCAAAGGCCATGAAATTCACAATTCACAATTTTGAAATTGCTTATCATATTCATTAACTTAGCATGCTTACTCTATTTACTTCATATACAGAGGTAGATCAGAGTAACAAAGAGAAAATGCACTTCCACTTTATAATCAATTTTGCAAATCGCCCCAAAGGAACCACTGACCGATTGGCCACATATTAAAATTTTGCAAATTTTATCATGAAATGGTTGATTAATACCAAAGAGCAGATTTCAAAGCATTATTTCATTTTCAGACTTGTAACCATCCACCCCCCTCTGAATCAGGGGGCATAAAAAACCTCTTTGCTAGATGCACCTTTCTTCATCATAATTATAGATACTAGGATCATTGACATTCATTAAAACCCATAAACAAACAATTGTTTTTGACCCTGGGGCCATAAAATTCACAAATCTGAAAGAGGTACTCTTGTCATCATTACTATCTACTTAGTTTATTTATTACCCAGAAGAGAGAGAGAGAGATTTTCAAAAAATAAATGCATTTTCATTAAATAATCAATAGAGCCCCGCCCTAACACCAGAACCCTTGACCCTGGGGCCATAGAATTCATAATTTTGGAAAAGACACTCTTGCTTGTCATAACTGTGTGCTTTGAGTTAGTGTATTTAATACTCAGAAGCTAAGAAGAAGATTTTCAAAGATTAAATGTAAATATAATCTATGGCCCCACCCTAACACCAGAATCCCTGACCCTAAGGCCATAAAATTTTCTGGCAGAGGCACTCTTGCTCATCATTACTATGTTCTTAGTTAGCTTATTTAATACCAAGTAGAAGAAGATATTTCAAAGAAATAGTGCATTTTCACTATATAATCTATATAGCCCCGCCCTAGCACTAGAGCCCCTGACCCCGGGACCATGAATTTCCCAATTTTGGTAGAGGACTCAATGCTTTTACATTCATGCCAACAGTTTGCCTGCTTGATGTCCAGGAGTAGAGAAGAAGATTTTTAAAGATTGCAATAATTTTAGTGGTTTGGCCTCACCCCTCAGGCCCCAGGGGGCGGGAACCATAAAATTCACAATTTTTGTTTCCCTTCACCCATAAATGCTCTACCAAATTTGGTTGAAATTGGTTAATTTTGGTTTTAGAGAAGAAGCTAAAATGTTCAAATGTTGACAACGAACGACGACCTGAAAAAAACTTTTTCATAGCAATAGGTCACCTGAGTTACTCAAAAGAAAAGTTAAATATTATGCCCATTATTTTCCTAAGATTAAAAAAAATTGTCTTCAACGTGTGAAATAAAAATGGTATTTAAGAACAAATAAATATATCTACCATTAATAAACAATTTATATAATATCGTGGAGAAGAGCCACACGTGTATTTATTGACAAACAAGTGGACAAAAAAAGAATATCAGCAGTCTCGTTCAAAGTCACCATTTCTTAGGTCTATGGTCGATACAATGACCTTGTCAGTAATTGCAATTTATTATCGAGTCAAATGCTGACTGTTTTCATACTAATTGTTAGTCCATTATTTATACACTGAATTGATGACGGATTTTCCGTTATTCTCCGACAAGGAGCACAATGCGGGTGTGACAGGTCGGCAGGGGGATGCTCACTCCTCCTGTGGCACCTGATCCCACCTCTGATGTTTCGGAGGTCCGTGTTTGGTCTTCTCCTGTTTTGTATGGTTTTATGAAAATTTGATCTTGAATACTGTTTGTTATCTCCATATTTTTCATTGTTTGAAAACTGAAAATAAATATATTTGTGTCATTATTAGACACCTGTCGTACCTCATAAGGCAAGGTTCTGTGTCTGTACAGAATGAATTCTCCCTCAAGGTAGACGTCGTAATATCTAAAAATATAAGGAAAATATACCTTTCAATTAATTTTTAATAGTACAATCCAAACAATGCTATCAAGTTCAATTTAAAAAAATCACACTTTTAATTTTTTACTCTCTCGAGATTCGTTTATATTTCCAGTATATGATTTGATTACTATAGGAAGAGGAAAATAAATATGATTATCATTTGTTAATGTTAAAATTTTACCTAATAAACAAATATTACCATCCGAATAGTAAAAAAAAATGTTTTTTTTTCGTATTTTCTCACTTTTTATCAAATGTTGTCATATGGGGGTCGTTTATTGAAGAACATACTGCTACCTTATCTCCATCAACTACTGTCACCTAAAACATATGTAAATTGAAAAGCATTCTCATATTTAAGAATTTTTTTTATGTGCAATACATATCAGATCTCAGGACTATTTTCCCGGTATACCTGTACAGTGGAGATTTCCTTGGTTTCATTGGGAGTTTTGAGAGATAGACGAATATTTCGCCTTTGGTCCCTGTCCCTCAAGCCGTCTATGGAAGCTTTGACGGATATTAAAACTCCAGATTGCCAGTTGTCCATGTTGATCAAATGAGAGCATGGTTTTGTGTGTAGATTGTCCATACCAAACACAGCTTGGCTTACAGGAAAACCCCTACATTTTAATTCACGTCCTGACAATTGAAAGGAGATTTTGATGAATATTTCTTTCTCTCTCTCTCTTCCCCATAATCTTAATGTGCATATTTGATTGTACGATTGAGAGAGAGAGAGAGAGAGAGAGAGAGAGAGAGAGAGAGAGAGAGAGAGAGAGAGAGAGAGAGAGAGAGAGAAAAAAGGTGCAATTTACAGCGCAATATTTTTTGAGCGCTAAAAATTTTTAACATTTTGAAGCCAATATATATATATATATATATACATGTATATATTTTATCAAACTTTCAACCATTTGAAATTAAGTCGCTAGAAGTAATTTTCAGCAATCTAACAAATAATTTTAATCAAGCGAGTTTATACCTTGTAGAGACGCGTATAAAGTTTTGGGAGGTGTATTAAATATATATATTGGCTACAGAATGTGTCTATAATTGGGGAAACTAAGGTAATTGATTGAGCAATGCTTGAAAGTGGAGAAATTCTTCTCAAAAGCGTTAAATTTCTCCTCTTTGCATACCTCGTTATGGTCCAAGCCTATATAACACCATAATGTCCATGTGTTGCTATATATGTGTTGTAATATATTGTTTTACGGTAATGTATAAAGAGGAATAACTTGTCCTATAAAATGTTATCCAGAAGCTTCTATATGTGAACGCCATAGTTAAATATAAAATAGCAATGTCCATGTTTTGCTATAGGAAACCTAAAATACGTGTCGAATAAAAAAGTAAAATAGGTGGTGCACAATGGCAGTATGTAATAAAGATTTTTGAAAGTTTCATTTAATTTAACTCAGTAGTATAAGAGGAGTTGCGATAAATAAGCGATAATGCGTAACAGACGGACAGACGGATATCCCGATAACTATATACCCTCCCACTTTTCAAGCGGGGGGATTAAACAGCTTAAATCATACGAATCACCTTGATGCCTTTAGACATTAAAATACATTATGCTTGAAGGTTTACCCTTGACGAGCTCAGAAACTATTTCCACTTTGCATGTATTTGCCCTCAGTTCTTTATAACAAAACAATCTAGGAGGGATTGTGCTAGTGACATTTATGAGGGCAAGCCCTGACCTTTCATGGACAGTTATTTGAGTGCCACTTTCCACCTATAATAAAAGAACAATATCCTTGAATTTGATGTACATTTTAAAATATAAACCCTTTGATATTTTTACCAACTGTTTATAAGCTGTTGATATAAGAATCACAAAGATATTGCTGTAATTCTGAACACATGCAAACCATGTCTTTTACTTATTGTTGATGGAATTAGCATAGAAAATTTGGATTGATTAATCACTCCTCAATCATAAAAACAAAGTTAGTTGATTAAAAAAAAATTGAATGAAAACAAAAATAAATAAAAAAGAAAAACATGGTTTGATATTAAATACTTGTTTGATATTAAATATTTGTTTTACCTGTACTTTTGCAATGATAATATTACTGTTTCTCAGCGAACCTCTGAAGCCAGAGCAGTTTCCAGGCATACAGGGAGTGACGGTACATTTAATCTACAAATGGTTGAAGATTGAATATCATGACTAGAACAACAAATAGTTGAATTTATCATTGATATAAAAATGTATCCATAACTCTTAATAAATTGTTTAACGTCCAATGCAAGCAACAAAAACCTCTTTTAAAGGAGAAACATGCATAAAAATTGCATGAAAGACCATTTTAATTACATAAATAAAAAAAACACAATTGAATTTTCAATTTTTCTGTCATTACCTGGTCTCCAAAGAGAAGAGGAGGAATCTGTGTTTCTTCCAACAAGCTCTCTGTTTTGTTTAAATTTCCTCTTTTATATTCAGGAAAGACCATTTTACGATTTTATAAATAAAACTAGGAATTCAATATCAGTGAAATTGCTATCAAAGTCACAGATAGGCTTGCCTCCCATATGGTTATAACTGGGTTAAAAAGTCCATGTTTTCCTGTGAAAAGCTAGGGAAAAAAAACATGTGTTAATTATTAAAAAGTAAAATAGGAGGTCACAATGGCAATATATAATCTGTGAAAGTTTCATCAAATTTCATTCAGTGGTATGAGAGGAGTTGCGGATAAGAGATGGGTACCCCAAAGCGTAACAGACGGACGGACGGAATTAACGATTACTATATACCCTCCCGCTTTTCAAGCGGCAAAAACGTACAGTTGAATTTTCAATCTTTCAGTTATTACCTGGTCTCTAAAGAGAAGAAGAGGAATGTGCGTTTCTTCCAACAAGCTCTCTGTTTTGCTTATCGTCACTTTTTCCTCTTTTATCATGTCAGAATTATAGTACCAATTTACGAGGAATTCAATATCAGTGAAATTGGTATCAAAGTCACAGAGGAGGCTTGTTTCTTGAGTAGTTTCATTGACTTCGAAGGTTAAAACCGGATCCTTGTCTAAGTGAAAAGCTAGAAGGTAAAAAAAAATGCATGTTAATTTTAATTAAAATTACAGTGTATTATAATCTTCAAATGACACACTTTTAGGGTAAAGTCTTCACTTTCGTAAACTATGCCTCATGATTAAAATATTATTTTCGTCTTCGAATGAAGCAAAACACTTTTAGTTTAGGATAAGGTCGTCACTCGTGTCAACTTTGATCAAGAACAGTATGCATCAGTGCTTTATATAAAAAATATACGGTACAGAAAATAGGAGTTTATTTAAATTCAGAATGCAATGTGTTCCTTCAGTATCAACATTCATCAGTAGCCTAATATATTTCATTAAAAAAAAATCCATGTCTGAGAGGTTTGCAATGACCTGTGATCGGAGGTCGTGAGTTCGAACAAGGACCGCGACTGACCTTCGTCGATTAAAAATTGGATGCAATGTGTTCCTTCGTGCACCTGAAGTGAAAGTTGGGTTGATGATACCTAAAAAACCGAGGGCCCGTGCCACGGTAGGCTTGGTACGATGAACCCTCACTGCTCAATGGCCTGAGTGCCGAGTAAAGGTCTAAATTTTAGATTAAATGGTGACGTCTCTATATAAATGAGAGGTACTGTGAGCGATGTGCTTGAAGGATACCCCCCGCCTCCCATATGGTTATAACTGGTGAAAAAGTCCATGTTTTCCTGTGGCCGGGAAACCCAAATATGTGTCGGATCAAAAAGTAAAATAGGAGGTGCACAATGCCTTCAATATGTATAAAAAAAAATAAAGATTCTGTAAAAGTTGCATCAAATTTCATTCAGTGGTATGAGAGGAGTTGCAGTGATGGTTACCCCAAAGCGTAACAGACGGACGGACGGAGTACGTACAGACGGAAGTTAACGATTATATATATATATATATATATATATATATATATATATATATATATATATATATATATATATATATATAATATATATATGTATAATGAAAAATTCTGTTAAGGGGATTTAAAACAACATACAATCAATCAATCTTCCAATAGCCTTCAAACATTAAGTATTCATGTTTCCTTCTTTACAGTGATTGTTATTTCATCAGATCAGTATTGGAAGTTTATTATTTCACTCATGTTATTTGCGAAAAAATAAATTAATTAAGGATTAGCAAAATGAACAACATTTCTTCGAAATAACCAATATATTTCATAGATTCCTATTTATATAAATAACTTAAATAATGTTTTCCATAGTAAGTGTTGAAAAATAAAAAAAATATTCATATAAAATAGCATAATATTATATATTAAAGCACCGAAAGCTTTATCATTTGTAGATCGATATTTTTTACGCCATTTCTAAGTCAATAAAAATATATCAATCCATAGTCCATACATGAGTTTTTTTGTTTGTGTTATATTTGAACATTGTGATTTGTTTTGTGCTTGTTATAGGAAACCAATAAAAATCTTGTTGCGGGGATTTTGTCGTGTGTTTGGTCAAGTATTTAAAAACCAACTGAGGTTGTTTCTATAAATCCAAGAAATCATAAAATGTATCGCAAAATATTCTTTCGATGAAGAAACACACAGATGTAAAACACAAATTTTCCATTTAAAATTTTATTTATTATATATTTATTAAACAAAGACTATACAATGCTATCTTATAAACACAAAAACGTACTTCTTTTCATTTTCATTATTAATTTTGGTACATGAATAAACTTACTATTTCTTTGACACATATACGTTCTTTTTTCGTTACATCCGAGATCATTCCACAGACCAGATCCTATGTAAGCTGTTAGACAGTCTTGGTTTTTGGAATTGTTAGGCTGATCTGTGAACAGAATTGTTAAACTAACAATCAAAAAATAAAAATAGAAAAAATATCAATTGATAGCTCCCCATCTCTACTATTTGTAGATTTTCAAGGATCCGTTCCTTATTACCAGATATCAGGGGTATATGTGTTTATAAAACCAGTTAAAAGCGTTTTAACAGCATAAGCTATTTCAGACAACCTTTCTAAATCTACCAAATTCACTTACATCTCAACCAGAAGGTGGAACTCCACAACATTGTTGTTCCAGACCAAGCCCACGTGCCTTCTCTGTGTCTATCAAATCCTCCGATCCAAAAGTCAGCCCTATTGTACAGTCCTGCAAATTTTTTTAGTCGATTTGTTAATCCTTAAATTCTTAATTCTTCATTAATACAATTTAATTTCAATATAAAAACCCATCACTGTTCCTTAACCCGTCAGACACTACGTACAAAACATTTAAACTATATTTACCGTTTACGAAAGAGTGTTCAGCAGAGTTTTTTATGCTAACGAGAACGGCTGTGTTGGCCTGACAATCTTTCATGGCGTTGTTCCATGTCAGTTGAGATGTGAAGTGTTTGTAACAATGTCCGTCTTTCACGGCCCAGGAAGAGTCACAGAAGGACAGGAAAGCTTTCAATAAGACACATAATTAAAGAAATGTATCTATCTTTATTAATACTTGGGCTAAAATTATAGATGTGTGATCATTACTTTGTTTGAATGCTAATTGTTTTGAAAAAAATCACTTGACTTAGAATTTCTGCTGAATTGTTACTAACGTACTTCTCTTTTTACAGACAAATGCTCTCTCTTGGCTACAGTCACGGTCACTCCATTTTCCTTGATTGTTTATGATAATACAGTGTTCAACATTGCCCTGGTTATCTGGTTCTTCTGTAAAAAATATCACATAGGAAAGATCACTCGACCTCAGCCGCCAACAAAGTATCATCAATTTCTCAGACTACAAAACTACGATCAAGTTAACGTACAACGATCATAAACAACACAAAATACGGATCCCTGACAACACATTGGAATAAGGAGTAACCAATCCGAGTTGCTCAATCAGACTGCTGTGTGGCAGCTGTATTCATGTACAAAATACGTTAAAACCGTTTATACGTGTGCAAGTAATATCTGCGATATTCACGGATAACTGAAGCTCGCGCATCTTCAGTTGAAAGTAATCAAAATTGGTGAAAACTAATACAACATTTTATATCCCTAGCCTTACTAGTATTCCAGTTAGTGTAATTCCAGGATTGGTGACTGCCATACCACAACCACTGGCCATTTATGAAGATATCAGAGGCACCTATCCAAACATCCGTTCCATTGACGAAATCTGAAAATATACACATGCATATGTAAAAAGATGTTGAACTTTATTATAACGTAATAATTCTATTCATTAATAAGTTTTAGATATACCAAGAAATAACTGATTTTTCAAGAAATAACTGATTTTTCATGGGGTTTGATTTAATTTGTTAACATGTGTTACGAGACCATGAATTAATATCCTCAATAAAAAGTAAAGAATTTCATATTCAAAACAAATCACAAAATCACAAACCAATTTTTTTTTCTCAATTAACCAAAGTTTGACCCTACGAAAATATTTTATTTAATGAAATCATCATCATCATTTTATTTTAAAGAAACGTAGTAATTTACATGTTTTTTTCAAATTACCTTCATCGTAGAAAATGTTTATTTAAAATTGAAATTTTTAACATTTTGAATCTTTGTTTGGTTTTGTACAAAAATCCAAATCCCTTCTTTAAGAATAAATTGTAAACTTCACCTTGCAAGAAATTTTGTTCACTCTCAGAGGCAATGTCCACCAAAATACTATCTTCGAGTTGACAATACCTATAGGCGTCAATCCAATCTTTTACCGACGTGTACAGTCGGTAGCAATTCTTGTCATACTGGGTCCAGTTGGAGGTGCAGGTTAATGGTATCTCTCGATGTTCTATAATATTTGGAATAAAAAAACTGCACGATTAAATAACCATAAAATCAAGAAAATCAAATTGGTTCATTTTTTCATATACTGAACTGACGACGGATTTTTCCGTTATTTCCCGATCATGACAAGGAGCACACGGCGGGTGTGACCGGTCGGCAGAGGATGCTCACTCCTCCATGGCACCTGATCCCATCTCTGATGTTTTGGAGGTCCTTGTTTGCTCTGCTCCTATTTTGTATTGTTTTATGGACTTTTGATCTGTAATACTGTTCGTTATCTCCATATGTTTCATTCATTAAAATGGATTTGAAGTTTTTAACACAACATGCATTTTTACCTTTGTTTTATGCTGTTATGAAGATTTAACATTTTGTTACCTTTCGAAGAACAAACTGATATATTTTATTTTTCATTACAGAATTATACAGTCTATAGTCAAAAAGAAGGTAAATGAAGGATAAAATTGGTGGGGTTTTAATTCTAAAGTTTTCCTTGAAACGTAATATTAAAATACGAAAAAGCGATAAGTAGCTCAGGGTGCATATACTTTTTTTTTTTTTACAAAATGAAGTTCCCTCAAATCCTGTGTGTTCAGAATTAGTGTCATAATTCATTAAATTTCCAGTATTTATGTTTACTTATGATTGAACACACTTCGTATCTTAGAAACATGTGGATTCATATACTCTACCTGATTAAAATGTTTAAGAAGTTTAATCTTAAACAATAAATAAGTAGAATTCTAGAATTTGTTTACTTTAGTTTCCTTATATTAATTATAGTAATGCTATGAAACAGAATATAATTAGATTTTACAGTTTTTATGTAAAATCTTGCTTAAAATTACTACTTTGGAGTTTTGAAATTTTTACCAACACCTTCCATAATTGCACATTCACCAATGAAAGGGGTGCCATCGCAATATTACACCTTATCATGTTAACGTATAATTTGTGTCTTACCGGTTATAAAGTAAATTTAACTCCTTGTAATAAAATGCAGAACACAACCCGATATCTGTCACAAAAAGTGGAAAGGGGGGTACGATATAACGAGGTGTCATTTAATTTAACAATACCTGATACGTTTATGTTTATTCTTGCTTCGATGAATGTCTCCTATCTATGTAAGAAATTAGAAATCATTTACCTCCGTACCCTTAAACATTTCCAAAAATACTGGTTGAAGTAAATAGCATTTATAAGGGGTATAAGGTTTATCAAAGTTTTATTAACTACAGTTGCTCTAAAAATATTAACTGCATGTATTTATTTTTTTTTTTATTTAGATGCTAGATTTCTGCCTATACATTTTAGTTATAAGATTTTATCTTTTTGTGAAGGTATTTTTCATGAGAATGTATCCTGAAACAAGTTTCTATAAAAAATAAAAATTAAACTGAACCCGGCTTATCGTTTTCCTCCTTTCTTATTCAAAATATAGAAAAAATACTTTTTTCTTCTTTAGATTTTTCAATGTAGAATAAAATAAAAATTCAACTGAACCCTGCTTATCGTTTTCGTCCTTTCTTATTCAAAATATAGAAAAAATACTTTTTTCTTCTTTAGATTTTTCAATGTAGAAAAAAGAAGTTTAAAAATTTAATAGGAGTTTGCTTACTAGTAATATGACCAAGAATGCTGATAAAAAGCATCTTTGTTAAATCGGCCATCTGAGGTCACCTTTCGGTAACGCTGGTGTGTGCAAACTTTTACTATCGATATTATTAAGCGTGTTTTAAACATTTAAACATGTTTCGTGTAAAGAAGCTATTAATCTGTCATTGTAATATAAATTTACTCAAATAAACATCAGTCCAGTATATCATGCAAATTCATGACTAATAGGTCATGCAAAAATTGTGGGAAAGTGAGAAATATAGTCTGGCTAGGAGATTAAATTAAAGTCACACTTTTAAATTTTATTTTAATATACCCGGTAGTTCAAATTAAGCAAATAATCATCATCAGGTTCTAATGGAGTAAAGAAACAAGTTGAAATATAATATTAGCATGAAAATATCACAGTGAAACATTTAGAGACACTAAGCAAGTTTACTTATTTTAATAAATTAAAGTTTATGAATGCCATCATCATTCGAAGTAAAAGATAAATTGTTTTGTAAACAAGGTCATTATATCAACCTTAGAATGAACAAAAAAATTATCTTCAAATAAGATATGTGATGGCTGATATCTTTATATCATCAACGTATGTAATGCAGCAATGTAAATATTTCTATATATAATATGTATGTTCAGGTGTGTATTGTTTTTATTAAAAATCTTCTTGGGAAATCTTTTTCACCCTTAGAATTTAGCAAAAATAAAACCTGAATGTGAAAGGGTAAATTACAATACACACTTAAGTATAAATAAATTCTAGTTAAGAAATATATCTTAAGTCATATTCATAAAAATTCTACTGTATGTGTAATGCTACGTTAAGTTTAATTCTGAAGACATTAGAGCATTTAAGTTAATCGCCACAGCAACATATGGAAATTTCTAAAGAAAAGTGCACTCTTTTGGGATAAAAGTATTTCTTATCTACTTAGAGAGACCGAGTCTAATTATTTCTACCCTAGGAATTTTGATAATTTTTTGCTTATTAATTTTTACTGTTATATTTATTGTTTTAAGATAAAAAAAATCAAATGTTTACTACCCAGATTTCTTAGGGGGGCATCTCAAAAGTTGTCAAATTTACTATTGGACACTATGGGAATTTATTGGATTTAATTTAAGCCCCGCATTATTACATTTTCCCCATATATTTTGTATTTCTGCCCTAGAGATTTCTTTTTATTCAATTAGATAAAAGTTATTGTAAAAAATCAACAAATTGTGAAATTTCAAAAAAAGTTGACAGTCTAGTTTGGTCGCGGTCTTAATTACAAAGTTTATTTTTTCGATGCATGCCTAAAACCTCTAAAATTGCCATATTGTGGTATAAATATATATGTATATGAATTATCGACGCAGATATTTTTGGTGAAAATAGCAATATTTAGATTGCTAGTATGCTTCCTCTGATGTTCTGTTAACAGTTTTAGGTAAAATATCCATGGACGTCTGCAAATATATAAGCGTCGTGCATTGCGTACAAAATCGGAAAACAGTGACGTCGTTAGAGCCATTTCAGCGTTTTTTCCCCCAAATAATTGTCGTAAAATCACATTTTCAGACCAGTAGGCGTGACAGATAATGTTAATTTTTATACTGAAATCACAATATTTGTGGAAGGTGTATTGTCGCATTTATGACTACATGAGGTTGAAAAGCTGCGCAAAAGTCATGAGCACTCTAATTAAACGCGGCCTCGTTAAGAACCTCCTGAGGACATTTAACTTTATAAGTCAATACTTATGCACTAAGTATATTTATGAATTGCAATGAAGTTTTTGTACCAAATTTAAGTAAAATCGAGAAGTTAAATGAAAATACATAGCTTAAGTGATTTTTTCAACTTAAGAATATACTAAGAAGTTTTATGAATTCCATCCCCGAGAAAAAAAAATCTTTATACACTATGCATTGTTATGTTATAGGGAGAGGTGCTTTTAGCCAAATCACCACCCCTTTTGTGAAAGAACTATATGCGGTATATTGCTATATTTGCCCCCACAAAAGTCAAATTTTAAACTTGCCTGAAATGTGCTGAATTCAATGAATTGTATAAAAAATATAAATTAACGGAAAATATTATAGTTTCACAGCAGCGTATTCACAATTTTTGTTTTTATGACGTCAGAAACTAGTCCGATTTTATACCCTTTTTTCAGAAAGAGGACAAAATGGACAAAATTTCAACAATTTTAGCTTTAAAATTTATAGAGCGCAATTTTGTTCAGGAAAAATATTGACATATTTCATTGATATTATCATTCTACACATTATATCAAAATATTGATCCTGAACACACATGCGTTCAGTGACTTTTACTCAAAATATCGACGAAATATGTACATTTTTTCTGTAAAATTCATAAAAAACTGAAATTACATCATGTTTGTGACGTCATAACGTACATATGGCGTCATTACTTATGAAAATATTCAGTGCTTTGAAGTCAGCATATACTTCCCTGTTTTTAAAGAACTTAATTAAATATATCTCCATTAAAGTTTGATTTCGGGGGCAAATATTGGTTAATACCGAATAAAGTTCTTTTTGATAATTTTAATTTATTGAAGCAGTACTCACGATAAAGATTTCTTAATTTTTGCAAAGTATTGTGCAAATTGTAATTTTTCCTTAGCTTTTTGAAAGTTTTTTAAAGCTTCATATAAAAGATTGTGAGCTTGTCCATAGCTTGAAAATGGGAAGCATATTATTTTAGTTTTTGTCTTAAAATCTGCAATTAGGTAAATCTATATTTTTTAATTAACCCCTTCACTTACACATAGGTCAAGTTTGACCCAATTAGTCGTATTTTCTTTAATAGATTAAAAAAAAAGAAGTTTTATTTATAGTTCATGGATTTAATAAACCAGGTTTTATTCCTATTGTTAGACTGTATAATTAAATTATATTGAAAATAAATTATTTGTATTCATATTTAATACATGTATCCTCAGGTGTTTTTTTTTATTAAGGACTGCTTCTTGGTAATCTTATTTCACTCTTAAAATTTAGGCAAAATGTCCGATTAATGTGAAAAGGTTAATCACGATACGAGTACATGTATAATAATTATGGAAAAAGGTAAATTAAAATACATTGTCAATGGTCATTTGCAAAGTAATTCTGTTAAAAAAAAAATAGTTTGATTAAAAACAAAAGAAACTTCGAAATTGATCTTAAGAGAATAATTTAACAGTATATGGAATATAATCTTCGGACATCTTTTGGAATC